ATGTTTTTTAAAGCAAAACTCTAGTCACTACCTGAGGCTTTAAGATCTAGATGACATTTAGCTATTTCATATTACTATATTTCACTGTGTCTAATATTAATGTCCACTACTAGTTATATTATATTAGTATCTTATAAGTGGCTGTGAGTTTTACAATTCTCAGTATCTGAAGTGTATAAAACCTTAAAAATAGATCCAAAAAAGGATATGTAGGAAATGTTGGTTTAGATTTCAGTGCCTTCAGTTTAATTGTGTGGAATACAAATATATGTAGCTTTGAACACACTTCAAAGAGGAAAAGCTAGTTTGGCATTTTGGATCTGAAAAAACAGGTTTAGCTGGAATTATGAGCAAGTCCTTCTTCTCATACCAATCTTCTTCTTCTTAAGACTCTGCAGTGCTTTGGATTTCATTCTAGTGAAATGCAATAGAAATGTGAATGCCTGAACAATCGTGGCAAGGTCATAAAATGGGGCAAAATTCACTGAACATGTTTCACTTATCAACAGAAATTTTGGGCTCATTTGTGGTTGTAAGTCAAGGACTCTCTGTATAATAGACAAAGTAGGAACAATACTAAGCTAAAATAATATTTTAACTGACAATAGATTAAGCAGCATTTCCTTTCTTTTGCCCCTTGTGGTTAATCTCTTTGCTTGCTGTCACTAACTCTGTGTAAGGTTGCTGTTCCCAAAATGAAATAATGTGATGAAAAGATATCATGCTAAAAATCTGGTACACTATGTATGCACTCCTTTAAAAAAAAAAAAATTATTTTCCATTTTAAAAAATACAAACATTTCATCTCTCCTTAAGCACTGTGTCGTCTGGGTACAAATATTTCTGTGCAACATCCTTCCACAAATTATATACATTGAACAATTATACCATGTGTAACTCTTCATTTCCTTCATATCTTCTAATAAAAATAAAATAACATTAAACACAATTCTCATCATACTCATGTTATCAGTTGCCATTTTATTATCTCTTATCTTAATTTATTTTCTATTCTTGTTGTCTTCTTCTTTTATTTCCAATTTCCTTTTTTATTCTCTAACCATTGGTAAAATGATTCCCATATCATATAATAATCATTATTCCTTCTCCTTAATTGCCAGTGTTAGTCTATTCATTTCTGCACATTCTAATATTTTCCTAATCACTTTCTCTTCAGTAGGAATCTCTTCACTTTTCCAATATTATGCAAATGCAATTCTAGCTGCTGTTAATACATGAATAACTAAATATATATATTTTCTTTGTTATAAGTTTCAGGCAAGATCCCCAACAAAAATATTTAAACTCAATACATTGTTTTATCATCTTTTCCAACCATATCTTTATTTTTATCCCATACTTATTTGCTTCTCCACACGTCTACCACGTATGATAATAAGATCCAGATATCTGGTGGCACTTCCAAAATTTAGCTGATTTGCCTTTAAACATCTTTGCCAACCTCACCGGTGGAAGATGCCATCTATAAGACATCTTACATAAATTATCTTTATATGCAGATGACATCGTTAATTTATAATTCCTGTCCCACAGTTTCTGCCATTTATCTAGTTCTATCGTATAACCATTTTTTTTCGCCCATTGTCTCCTTACTTGTTCCTCTGCTAGCTTTTCACTCAGTAAATATACCGTTTCTTTATACATCTTCTGTTTCTGTTAGGATTTTATCTAATTCTGTTGGCCCTTTATAAAAACTATGATTTTGCATCTTTCTCATATCTAGAACATATCTGCACTTATGCACTGTGTATGCACTTGATTTATTCCCCTCACTATCAGGATTATTACAATGTCTATAACCAATTAGTGCATTTTAAAAAAACACCACATTCTTGGCTCTTTTAACACTAAACCTTTTCTTGACCTGAAAGGAATGTTTTAATTATTTTTACCCCTTCTGTGGGCATGCTGAGGCATCCCTGAATCATCACCCGCAGGCAAGTCTGAAAATGAAGAAAAGCTTGCCACAAAAGTAAAAAAAATAACAAACAAAAAAGCTTCTTCCAACATGTTAAAAACAAGAAAAAAGTTAAGGAAACAATTGATCCATTGCTGGGAGAAAGTGGCAAGAAGGTGACAAGCAACAGGGNTCCCACCAGTTTGTTGCTGTTTTAATATTATAATTTTTGCACAAATTCCAATGGATCATTTGTGCTACTGAATTGTGCCGCAATTTATAATCAGATTATTATTATTATTATTCACAATTAGGTTGAGACATGGCACAATTTGCAAAACACATAAAAAAATAGTAGGCAAAACCAAGCAAGCCACCTAATGACTTGGCACAAGAAACGAACCCCCACACTTTCTCTACAGCAAAAGGCGAGAGCACAATGCAGCCAAGAATAGAGGGTTGGAGGAGAAGCAGCTCCTTCTCCCTGCCAAAAAAACACCTCCCTGCGATATATTGAACAAGTTGTATGCAAAACGGAGACCACTAAATTCCTCCTTATCAAATGATCTCTCCTCTTTCACTAAATCGGGATACCAAGATCATCATTCCTAATCAAAAATTAAAATAGAACTTTCCGCAAATGAAATTTGGGATTGTCATGCCACATATTAAGGAAGCGATACAGTTTTTCAGGCTAACGTGTTGGCTCGTTGTTATACTAGTCAAAGCTTCTGAAAGAATTCCGACATTATAACAAGGAGTTGGCTTGGTTCAATAATAGCCTGCTTGGGCATCATTCAAAACAGAGATACCTGCATTCAAACATGTTAAGCAAAACATACCTATACATATGTATGTTAGAAACCATTCTGAGGCCCATAGCACTACTACTCTAATATCTAAGGGTTGCATATTACATTCTGCTAATGGAAACACGGTTTACACCTTGGAGTAATCCAATTTGCTCAGGTAAGTTACAAATGGTTAACATTTAATAATCAATAAAATGCAATTTATAATATGACTGGTTTTACACAACCTACAAAACCAAAACCATATAATCCCTGATACAATGTGTGAATTTCAACAAGATCTATCTATCTGGCAGCCAAAGACCCATGAGATGAGTTGGGTTGAGAGTGACTGGTCCAAAGAGACACAGCTGACTTTCACGCCTAAGGCCGGACTAGAACTCACCATCTCCTAGTGACTTGCCCAAAGACATCCAGCCAGATTTTTTTTGCCTAAGGTGGAACTAGAACTCTCAGTCTCCTGGTGATTGGCCCACCCTGCCGAATTTCAGGCCTAGGGCAGGACTAAAATTCAGCCTCCTGGTTTCTAGCACAGCACTTTAACTGCTACACTGAACTAAAAAATAGCTTACATATTAATAAAGGGCTTACGAACAAGAACAGTTGCAATCACCCTAAGGCAAGTTCAAACACAAGGATATGATTGACCCCCAAAGTCACCCAGCCGGCGTTCATGCCTACACAAGCGCTAGAACTCAAATCATCTTGTGATTGGCCCAGTCAGCCAACCAGCTTACATGCCTAGGTCCACACTAGAACTTAATCACCTGGTGACTGGCCCAGTCACCCAGCTGGCTTTCATGCCTAAATTGGCACTAGAACTCCAGTCACCCAGCTAGCTTTCATGCCTAAGTGGGCACTAGAACTCAGTCACCTAGTGATTGACCCAGGCAGGTTTTATGCCTATACTGGCACTAGAACTCCAGTCACCCAGCGACTGGCCCAGTCACCCAGCTGGCTTTCATGCCTAAATTGGCACTAGAACTCCAATCACCCAGCTAGCTTTCATGCCTAAGTGGGCACTAGAACTCTGTCACCTAGTGATTCACCCAGGCGGGTTTTATGCCTATACTGGCATCGAACTCCAGTCACCCAGCTAGCTTTCAAGCCTAAGTCGGCACTCGAACTCAGTTCCCTGGTTATTGAGCCAGTCACCCAGCTGGCTTCCATGCCTATATTGGCACTAGAACTCCAGTCACCTGGTGATTGGCCCAGTCACTCAGCTGGCTTCCATGTCAAAATCGGCACTAGAACTCCAGTCACCTGGTGATTGGTCCAGCCACCCACCTGGCTTTCATGCCTTCATGCCTATATTAACACTAGAACTCCAGTCACCCAGCTAGCTTTCAAGCCTAAGTCAGCACAAAAACTCAGTTCCCTGGTTATTGAGCCAGTCACCCAGCTGGCTTCCATGCCTATATTGGCACTAGAACTCCAGTCACCTGGTGATTGGCCCAGTCACTCAGCTGGCTTCCATGTCAAAATCGGCACTAGAACTACAGTCACCTTGTGATTGATCCAGCCACCCACCTGGCTTTCATGCCTTCATGCCTATATTAGCACTAGAACTCCAGTCACCCAGCTAGCTTTCAAGCCTAAGTCAGCACTAGTACTCAGTCCCCTGGTGATCGACCCAGCCACCCAGCTGGCTTCCATGCCTATATTAGCACTAGAACTCCAGTCACCTTGTGATTGATCCAGCCACCCACCTGGCTTTCATGCCTTCATGCCTATATTAGCACTAGAACTCCAGTCACCCAGCTAGCTTTCAAGCCTAAGTCAGCACTAGTACTCAGTCCCCTGGTGATCGACCCAGCCACCCAGCTGGCTTCCATGCCTATATTAGCACTAGAACTGCAGTCACCCATCTGGCTTTCATGCCTAAGTGGGTACTAGAACTCAGTCACCTGGTGATCGACCCAGCCACCAGGCTAGCTTCCATGTCAAAATTGGCACTAGAACTCCAGTCACCTTGTGATTGATCCAGCCACCCAGCTGGCTTTCATGCCTTCATGCCTCTATTGGCACTAGAACTCCAGTCGCCTGGTGCTTGGCCTAGTCACCCAGCCAGATTTCTTAAGTTACGGCTAGAACTCCCCGTCTCCTGGCCATTGGCCCCGAGGCACCCAATCCCCCTTTCTATGCCTCAGGCCGAACTATAACTCCCAGCCAGGTGCGAAGAGTGTTTTCAGGGCCAGGAACCAAGGCCCAGGAAAAAGGGGGGGGGATCCAAGCCAAGGCCTTGGGGGGGGGGGGGCTTGCTTACTTACTTTCAAGCGTTTGACCACTTCGTCGTTGGTGATCTTATCCGTGATCTCCTTCACTCCAGGCGGGTAGAAGATGATCTTGCCGTCGGGGGGAGGCTTGGGTTGGGCGGATGGGAAGTCCATCCTGGCGCTGCCGCCGATGTCGCCGCCGCCGCCGCCGTCGAGAAAGTTTCCTTCTTCGCAGGCTTCTACCGGCCCCTGCCGGTCGCAAAACAAAAGTTCAGACTTTTTCTCCCCCCGCAAGCCGTTTGATTTCCCTTCCCCCGTTTCGAAGCCCCGAGTGGGAAATAAAAGGCCCCTTTCCCCGACGACAACCCCGGAGCCGGGCCCGCCGCCAATCCACCTTTCCCCGCGGCCGAGCCGGGCCGAGCCTTCCTTCCCACCCACCCCCCTCAGCCCCTCAGGGCGTCGTCTCCACGATGAGGGCCGGGGCTCCGACGGGAAAAAAGAAAGAGCCCCATGGGGGGAGGGGGGCGTAAAAAGGTCCGACCCGGGAAGAAGAGTCCCGCCGCCGGGAAGTGCCTCCCGCAAGCAAGCGGCCAGGCGAGGCCTAGAAGTTAGGCCGCAAACACCCGGTGAGGGTGGGGGGAAGGGGTGTCCCTCACACGGCCGGAGGCCACTGTGCGGCCACTGGGCCCGCTCCCTCGGCAACTTTTACCTCAGGATTCCCCTCAGGCGACGCCCGGCTCGGGCCAAGATGTCTCCCCCTGCCCTCACCGGCGAGTGTTTCGAAGCCGCCTCCGCCGCCTCACAGATTTCCCCGCGCCCGGCCCGCCTTTTTACCTCATGCAGCTCCGGGAGGTGCAGCATCGAGCAGGCGGAAGGTGGCGGTCTGGGCCTCGGGCGCTTCTGCCGCTCGCTGGTGGTGCTGCTGCCACGATGCCCGGCCTGCTTTTCCTCTCCTCGCCGCCGCCGCCCGCCCCGCGCTTCTTTGCCGCCTCAGTCAGGCCCCGGCGGCTGTCGGGGACGGCTGGGCCGAGCGTGCGCCTGGCGCGGGGCCTGGCCGCGGGGAGACAGTGCCGCTCCTCGGCCGGCCGGGATAAAACAGCCCAGGAGGAGAGGCCGCCGCTCGGCGCTCCCTCTCCGGCGGCCGTCCTTCCTTCCTCCTTCCACGCAGGCGGGGAGCGAACAGGCCCGCCCTCCTGGCCGCCGGCCCAGCCGGATGGGGCCTTTCCGAGCTCTGCGGACCGCGGGGGCAACAGGCCGCATCGTCCGAGCGGGGATGTCTTGAGGCCCGGGCCTGGTTGGCTTGCTTTCCCCGAAAGACGGAGCGTTGGGCCGGCCGGGAACCGTCGTGGGACTTTCCTCCGGGATTGTGTGTTTGTGTGTTTGTGTGTGTCTTTTCCTTTCAAAACGTCCCCTTGGAGGCCCTTACTTCGAAGTAAAGCTTTTGGAAGGCCCTTACTTCTGAGTAAACCTCTTGTAGGGCCCTTACTTCGAAGTAAAGCTCTTGGAAGGCCCTTACTTCTGAGTAAACTTCTTGGAGGGCCCTTACTTCTGAGTAAACTTCTTGTAGGGCCCTTACTTCGAAGTAAAGCTCTTGGAAGGCCCTTACTTCTGAGTAAACCTCTTGTAGGGCCCTTCTGAGTAAACCTCTTGTAGGGCCCTTACTTCGAATTAAAGCTCTTGGAAGGCCCTTACTTCTGAGTAAACCTCTTGTAGGGCCCTTACTTCGAAGTAAAGCTCTTGGAAGGCCCTTACTTCGGAGTAAACCTCTTGTAGGGCCCTTACTTCGAAGTAAAGCTCTTGAAAGGCCCTTACTTCTGAGTAAACCTCTTGAAAGGCCCTTACTTCGGAGTGAAGCTCTTTAAGGGGGCCCTGGGTGGGTTTCCCCAAGTGATAAAGAAGGAATAGAAAGGCTAATAAAAAAATTTTGGCTCCTGCAATAAAAAGATTTACTTGCAGGAAAGCTGGGGGTGGGGGTGGGGGTGGGTTCTATTTGGGAACTTTATATAAGCTATTTCCAATATTTCAGATAGATTTATTGATTACGTTTATATGCTGTCCATCTTAATTCATGATTCATCTTCATTCAACTAATTCTAATAATGCTGTCAAATGTCTGTGTGTATATTTTACCCATGCAGCATGGCTGCAATATTATGTATATTTATCCATGTAGTATGGCTGCAGTATTATTATTATTGTGTATATTTGCCCATGTAGCAAGGCTGCAGTATTATT